CCCCAAAACCCCAAAACCCCAAAACCCCATCAGTCTTTGTTTATCAATTGAATCAATATTTATTAATCTATTATTTAATAATATACTCATACACCTTCACAACCAAAAGTCTAATAAATAGATGTCTAATTTCACAGTCACACAAGTTGATTTAGCTTTTACTCAGAGCCTTGTTTAAGCTCTTGGATCCAGTTTGAATCCCAGCAATGAAATTCGTCAATAAGCTGAGGTCTTCATTAAGCAGGTAATCTTATTAAAGTTATTAATCAATAAATAATAGTCTTAAAGAGTGCCAGGCTATGTCTCATCTTTGCTCAAAATATCATCTGATGTCTCAGTACGCTTTATATTTCATCTTTATAATTACTTAGGTTAACCAAGGATAGTAGATTGATATCTGTCATGCAGCTGCAGTCTAACTAGGAAGCATTATTGAATATCACTGGAAGTTCCTTGACCCAGTTCAAGCAAAGAAAGTTTCTATTGAGGGATTTGATTTCATTATCTTAGATGAGGGAGACAAACAACTTGTTAGAGAAAACATCCTCAAATGCTTATACTAAACTGATAATAAAGTTATTGTTAAGCAGTATGTTAGATGCATCACTACTATCGCTAGATTCGATTACCCATCAAGATGGCCAGTCATTGTCCAAGAGATAGTGCAATATTTAAGCACAGCAGATCAAAAATCAGTAATGACAGGACTCCTCGGCTTAAAGGGACTTGTAAAGAAATACGAGTATGAACTTCAAGATGAGAGAGATCCACTTTACGGCATTATAGCCTAGACATTTAGCATTCTCGGAAACCTAGTTAATCAAACTCTAAATGTTGATAATCAAGTAGCTCAAGATATTATGTTTTTGATTTGTAAAATATTCTACACCTCTAATCAGCTCTATCTTTGTCCATTCATGGCTGAAGGAAGTAACATTGATCCCTGGATTCAACTATTCAAGACCCTTATGGATAGACCATTGCCAGCTGAGCTTGAAAGTCCAACTGAAGAATTGGAAGTTATTGAGGAGAGAGAGAAAAATTTATAATGGAAACTCAAAGGTATCGCTGCTAAGACTACCTATAGACTTTTCTCTAAATTTGGAAATCCTAAATATGTTGATGAAAAGTTCGGAGATTTCTCAAAAAAATTCAAGGAAACTTTCGCTATTCCTCTATTAGAGTCCCATCTCTAACAAGTTTTTAAAAAAGAAAAATGCTTTGTTAATTCAAAAACTCTTAACTTCGCAATTAAATATGTTCAGTAATCAAGTAAGCTTCCAATAACAATGACAGTGCTCTACCCATTAGTTGAGAAAGTCCTTTATGATATTGTGATTCCTGTCATGTTTATCACTTAGAAAGATATTCAATTATTCAAAGAAGATTCTATTGAGTATATTAGAAAGTAAAATGACTTTACAGAGTCTCTGTTCTCACCAAAATAGACAGTTGTTGATTTGCTAATCAGCCTCTGCTCTTATAAATAAAATAAAAAGAGTAAGAAGCCAGACTTCCTACACAAATTTCTATCTTTCTGTGGAAATATCCTAGTTTAGTACTCCTAAAAATAGATTTTAGATTGGAGAATCAAGGAAGCCATTATTTATGCAATCGGAAGTCTCTATGATGAATTGGTAGCTTAAAAAGATATAAAGGTACAACTTGAACCAATGATGATTCAGCATGTGATGCCAGAATTACAAAGCCAGATCCCATTCCTTAAAATGAGAGCATGCTGGATTTATGGAGAATTTGGAACATTCAAATTTAAGGAAGTAAATCATGTAAAGCAAGCAGTAGAGTTAATATATAAATAACTGTATGACCCAGAACTTCCAGTGAGACTTACAGCAGCAACTTCTCTACATAAATTAATGCATAATGACGAGTGCACTGCTCTCTTAAAGCCTGCTCTAAAAGATATTCTTTAAATTTATCTTAAAATGATGAGTGAAATAGACTCAGAAGAATTGGTTGCAGCTCTGGAGGAGATAGTCAGCCATTTTAAGGATGATATAGCTCCTTTTGCCGTAGAGCTTACTCAATAACTTGTTGGAGCCTACACAAGACTTAGCTAGGTAAATGCTGATGATGATGATGGGGAGAGTGCCTTAGCTGCTGTGGGATGCGTCACTGCAGTGAGAAGAATCTTAGATTCTATTCAAAATAATAAAGAACTCATTTTAAAAGTAGAAGAATTCGTCTATCCTATGCTTTTGCACACTTTAACTCCAGATGGTCTTGATTCAATTGAAGATGGACTCGACTGTATTGCTCTTATCCTCTATCACGGTTCTGTTAATGGAGTAAGCAAGAATATGTGGAAAATCTTCCCCTAACTAATCTATATCATTTGCGGGGAAAATGACCCAGATGGTGGTTATGGATTTGAATATCTATCATAAGTATGTGTATCAATTTAAAACTATATCGCTAAAGACCCTAATTCTTTCTTAAGTATTGGAGAAGGTCAGACTCAAACTTTCATTGCCATCACATTCCAATTCGTTGAAAAAACTCTTAAAATGAATAAAGAATCTCCAGACCAATTAGACGGTATTGTTATAATGAAAGTATTGATTGCTATGCTTGAAAACTTAAAAGGTAGAATTGATGAAGCTTTATAATATATCCTTAAGATTTGTATTGAGGAGCTTGCTGGCAAGAAGATCCCTAAGAATTATAGATCTATGCTAATTCAAGTTATCTCTATGACTTTCTGGTATAACAGTGCTCTTTCTTTCCAAATATTGGAGTAATCTCAGTAAACTATACCAGTCTTCCAAACTCTTTTATAAACTTTGGGAGATATGAAGCACGATTTTGAACTCAGAAGAGTTATTTTTGGTCTTACTAGCATTCTCTGCACCGAACCTTCACTTCTGCCAGCATTAGTTGGACAGAGAATCCCCGAAATCATGAAGCAACTTGCATAGCTAAGTCTAAAGATGAGAGAGCAAAGACTAGAGGTATTAAAGGATAATGAAGAGAGTATATAAGAAGAATAAAATAAAAAGAATGAAGATGATGAAGAAGAGGAGAATGAAGATGAACACGAGAATATGGATGGAGAGGCCACTGCATTTGATAAATTAAAGAAATCTGAGAAATTTGACGAAAAGGATTACGGAGACGATGATGATGACTCGGATTATGAATACACAGGCGGTGATATGGCCATTTACGATTCTGCCTTAGACTCTATAGATGAGCTTCTATATATTAAGGAAACACTAGAAAATATCAATTCTGCAAACGCAGGTTATATGACTTAATTGATGTCAGGTATTGATGCTGAGCTAATGGGAAAATTCAATGAGAATATGTAAAGTGCTCAAGCCCTAAAGGATAGAGAAGAAGTAGTTAGAAAGTAATGTGATGAGATGTTCGACAAAAAGAAATTCAATTGATAAATTTCTTAATCAAATTTGCAGTGAATTAAATTAATCATGCTTGCATGCTAGTTAGTACATAATATTTATTATGCTTTAAAATTAATAAATCGATAATTGAAGTCAGGGGTTTTGGGGTTTTGGGG